ACCAAAGGCGAGAAGGCACTGAACGAAGTGTCAACCTACGAATACAACAGCAGTGCGACAATGTGCTCTTTCTGCTTACACAAAACAGGCTTATGAATACGTATACAAACTGCCTCTAGGACTTTCAACTGTTGGACATAACGCGCACGACACAGTACAGAAAAATGAGAGTCATCATACACACCAAGACAGTCAGGACGAGATAACAAGTGTAGATACACAGCTGACTTCTTACGATCAACACATTCATCCGCCTCATCTCGCTCCTTCCCACCCGACTCCTCCTCGTCCATCTCATTGTCCTCTTCCTCGTTCCGCTCGTCATCCTCAAGATCATCATCACCACCATCATCTGCCTCGTCCTCTGTCTCCTCACCAACCGTTTCGTCATCCAATTCCTCTTCCATCCTCTGATCATCCGTCTCATCCTCCGTTTCATTACAGACCACTTGTCTCCCATTTGCTAGCTGCTCGTCCCGTGAGCGGAGTTGTTCCTCCAGATCCGCTTCACTCACTGACTCATGATACTGCTCGACCCTCCTCCTGTTGGTACTGTCCACAACGCGCGGTCCTTGGCCGCTTCTGGCATAGATCTCTGTGGAGTAGTTTGCTGTTGCCCTCCGAGGTCTCTGGATTAATGTGGGCGGCGTGGCAATTCGTGTGAGAGTTGGTGATGCCAGCGCGAGTGTAGGACTGTCTTGGTGTGTATGATGACTCTCATTTTTCTGTACTGTGTCGTGCGCGTTATGTCCAACAGTTGAAAGTCCTAGAGGCAGTTTGTATACGTATTCATAAGCCTGTTTTGTGTAAGCAGAAAGAGCACATTGTTGCACTGAAGTTGTATTCGTAGGCTGACACTTCGTTCAGTGCCTTCTCGCCTTTGGTTATGTAATCTTGTTACCCTTTTTTGCGTTTCCTCTAGTGGTTTTATTGCACTTGTATCTTGATGTTATTTCTAACACCTTTCTATTTACAGTACTTAACTTCAGTTTCTTTGGTTGTATCCTTAGTTCCGTTTTTCCCACTGATGATAGGAACGAGAAAATCGATTCTGGGTTTTCAATAATATTTTTGTTATAAAATACACAGTAATACATGTCAAACAAGTAACGTAGTTGCGTGATGTCTGCGGCCTTCATCCTATTCATAGCTATATTTAAAACAAAACAAAAAGTTTAAAAAACCAATCCCAAGCCCAATGTGTACATCAACGATCGCTCAAACACCACCTAGTCGCAAGCCCGCGCTTGGCACAACAGTAGATGAGGGGTGAATTCCCCGAAACACTGTGTATTGAGCAGGGAGTGGTGCTTTCTTGCAGGTTTGCCGAGTCGAAGGTTCGATGGACTTCTCGTGTGCTCTGGATGGCAGTCGTGAGTCAGTCAAGTGTCAAGTAAAGTCGGCGGAATAGCGCGAGCTCCGGTGTGGGGAGCAAACCCTTTCATACTTAAAGTATAAATATATTATGTAATTTGTAATTTGCAGCACAGATCTACATTGTACGTACATTATGCACATACAGTAAAACCAAGAGTACATAACCCCCCAGAGTGTGCAACTCCCACATACCCTGCTGTCTCGACAGAATTTCAAGTTGACGTCATTATTTATGACGCAATGCTCCTTGCACCAGTGATTTACAACATGTGTACGGGTGTCAACGCATCACACGTTTTTCTTTCCAATAATTTGTACAGGATCGATCCGCTTCGGTCAACCACAGGTTCCGGATTCGTCTGATAATCCGTGTACAGTGCGCATTGCATCATCAAAATGACGTCAACTTGAAATTCTGTCGGGACAGCACCCATAGTGGAGTTGCACACTCTGGGGGGTTATGTACTCTTGGTAAAACCTGTAATGGCGACCACTCGACCATGGCGACCACTTTTCCTTGTCACGGACGCATTCACATTCAAAACACCTCGGATAAGGCGACCACTCGCTCAACGCGACCGGCGACCACCCACCCGCGACCGCGTTGCACAGTGCTAGTCATGTAAATGTATGCATTGTATGGTGCACCAGGCATGGTAGATTTACACATCAGTGCAGGAAGTGTAGATGTACATCGTGCATGCACGACATTTGACAGGTCCGAGGACCCCAGGCGCACGAGTCGTGCTAGAGTAGCATAGGTGTGTGCACTGTGATCATGGTGATGCACTGATCAAAATGATGACATTGTATCACATGTGGATATGGTCACGTGACCCACTGAACCTGGATAAGAAGACCACCTGGCCACGGCGACCACTTTTTCTCGTCCCTTGAGGGGTGGCCTTAGACAGGTTTTACTGTACTAGATACCCGTACTAGTTGATGTATGGTCAAAACCAAGAGTACATAAACCAGAGTATGCAGCTCCGCATCTATGCTGCATAAAACCGATCCCACTACGAAGCTTTTTTGCTTAGGTCATCATGAATCATAGAACCCCCATCTTACCGCAGGTTCAGTGCTAAGTCATCGTAACACTAAGGTAAATGCAGGAAATTTGCGTGCATATTTCACCTTTGGCACGACAAGCAGCAATGCGCAACAGAAATTACCTTGGTGATACGGTAAATGACCATGTGAACCAGAATGAGATGCAGAAAAGGTGACTCACTATGACCTAAACAAATAACTAACGCCGTGGGATGATTCTCCCGGAGCTGCACACTCTGGTTGTCGTACTCTTGCCAAAGCCCATTTTCAAATAGTTCACCTTATTCCACACAGCCGCCTGTTGCGTGCTACTTCCGTGCTGGAGTGAAGGTACGGCGAAGTACTCCTGTCAGACACGTCGCTGTCCACCGGTTCGCTGACGTTCCTTGTAGCTTGACTGTCATTGATACAGAGGTTCTTGACAATATCCTGCTTCTCACTCAGAGTCCTTATACTTTCTGAATTCGTACGTGAGAGTGATGCTGGCGAGCCACCACCTCCGGAACTCAGCAGACACTTATCCTCCATGCTTTTTCAAACTAACTCCATTGCCTTGGGGAGCTTCTCTCGGTCTGAACCCAAAGGCTGACACTGACATAGATTATTTTTTGACAAATTCAAATTTCAAGAATCGTTCAACATGCAAGTACTGAAATTGTGAACTGGCCAAAAATGGCAAAGATGACGAAAGTTCGCCTTCACACACTTCATTTGAAGCAGACTTTTCTCGCTTTCTCTACTTCTTGTCTGTTGACTCAAGTCACTACGAACAGCGAACAGCCAGCCAAAAACCGACTGTCAGTGCGGCGCGAGAAGGAAGAAATAAATGCACATGCACAGCATCTTCATTTTCGTCAAACTGACAAAAGTCAAAAGACTGCAAGAGGCTCCCGGTCCCACATGGCACATGCAGTCATGCACAGGACCCACACGTGCACAATCATCAGATCATGTGCCGCACCTGCACCGGGTAGAATCTAGACCAGGCAGGGAGTACTTAGTAGTAGATCTACGAAGTACGAGTACAATACGGTATTGTACTACTCCCTGATCTAGACTACACAGGGATTAGGGGCGCGAATAGGGCTTGAAAGTGATGACGTCAAAAACGGCCAGGGAGTACTAAGTTGACATCAGATTTCTATTTTGGATCCACTAAGGTGTGACTTTGCTATTGCCTCAGTATGTGGGTGCATAGCAACCCACTCATGTCGTATGCAGGGGCGACTTTTACTTCGCCACCAGTTGTAACCCCGCCCCCAGTAGCCAAATCAGTCAGTTTCACTGGTAACATCACCTTGCTGAGAGTAAGACGGCTTGAAATGTGCTTGGATCCATACAAAAACTGGATCCAAGTGGATCCAATTTTTGAATTTTTGAAATTGTTGCTATGCTGTGACGTAGCACTTTCAAGCCCTATTGTCCACTCTTTGACTTTTCGAGGAGTTTCGTTTTTCTGAAGAGGTGGCCTTATTGGCCTCTTCACACTTGCCACGTGATCGTTGCCACGGTTTGAGCCAATCAGAGCGCTCACAGGCAGGGCATGAACCTCTGATCATGCCCTGCCATTCAGGCCCTTGGGCTTGAATGGCACCGTCGGAGAACATGAATGATCACGTGATGGGTATACTCGCACGTGGAGAGACTTACCTGATCGAGGTGGAACAACTCAAGAGAGAAAGAAAAAGCCTGATATCCGGTCCATGTCTGATACATGCGGTGGCATTCAGGCCCTTGACCAATCAGCACGTCCCGAGAGCGTGTGGAGGTGAAACTGAACACGCCGGCATGAAGGTATAAAAGGAAGAAACCTCTAGGGGTGGTGGTCGGGGACGTGGAGGATTCAGCTTCTGAGTTTCAGGTTGGTACGCTCGAGGGCTTTGTTGATTCAGGCCCGAAGGGCCTGAAGGCCGCGGGCCGCTCGAGGGCCTGAATCAACAAAGCCCGAGAGCGTACCAACCTGAAACTTCACCTTGCTTGAGTTGAAACTTCACCTTGCTTGACATGAAACTTTAGAACGAAACTTCAGCCGGAGCGCACGGAGGTGGAACCTCAGCTTGTGAGTTTCTGCCATTGTTGTGCAACGAGTGCCATAAAGGACTTGAGAACTTGGGCAGGCAGGCACTCGGTGTTTCTAGTTGATGTATTTCAAGTTCGATTTATGCAGATTAGTGCAGTACAGTGGCTTTGTTTGCGCTGCTAGCATGCTGCGGGTGCGTTGTAGTTGCACTTGCACGTGCATGTTCTGCTGAGGAGAGCGTTCTGGCTTTCACTTGTGCTGTAGACATGTCGTGCGTGGGTGGCAGTGTGAAACACAATCAGACATGGATGTCAGGGCAGGTATCGTTGATTCCGGCCCTCGAGCGGCCCGCGGCCTTCGGCCTTGGGCCGCTCTCGGGCCTGAATCAACGATACTGCCCTGACATCCATGTCTGATTCTATACTTCAGAAAAACGAAACTCCTCGAAACTCCTCGAAACTCCACAACCTCATCCGATGGGAGAGGTGGATTAGTTCCGAAGAGTTTGGAATATGGTGGTAAAGACACACCTGGCAATATGGCGGTAAACACACGCCTGCCCACACACGCTCTCTAGGCTGCAAAGTTCTGGCACAGAGCTCTCCTTCTCACCACCACCACCATCAGTTCGCGCCTGGCGCCTGGTCGATGCTGATGAGTCCATGATCCAGCGGGGACGAAACGTAGATCTACGTCGCAATCGAGCTATGTCGTTGCTGTGTCATCATCTATGTGCCATGCGCTACTTGATGTACCAGCCTGCTATGCCGGATACCGCCAGCCATGCATCGACCAGGCGCCAGGCGCGAACTGATGGTGGTGGTGGTGAGAAGGAGAGCTCTGTGCCAGAACTTTGCAGCCTAGAGAGCGTGTGTGGGCAGGCGTGTGTTTACCGCCATATTGCCAGGTGTGTCTTTACCACCATATTCTATCGAGTTTGGAATAGGGCTTGAAAGTGATGACGTCAAAAACGGCTAGGGAGTAGTAAGTTGACATCAGATTTCTATTTTGGATCCACTAAGGTGTGACATTGCTATTGCCTCAGTAGTAGTAGTAGTAGTAGTAGTAGTAGTAGTAGTAGTAGTAGTAGTAGTAGTAGTAGTAGTAGTAGTAGTAGTAGTAGTAGTAGTAGTAGAATTTATTATTTTGATAGGGAAGGCCCTACAGACGTTGCCGTCTTGTTACAGGGAACCCTAAGTGCTCTTTACAGAGCGAAACAAAAACGGATAGATGCTCAATCTGCCTCAGTACGTGGGTGTATAGCAACCCACTCATGTCGTATGCAGGGGTGACTTTTACTTCGCCACCAGTTGTAACCCCGCCCCCAGTAGCCAAATCAGTCAGTTTCACTGGCTACATCACCTTGCTGTGAGTAAGACGGCTTGAAATGTGCTTGGATCCATACAAAAACTGGATCCAAGTGGATCCAGTTTTTGAATTTTTGAATTGTTGCTATGCTGTGACGTAGCACTTTCAAGCCCTATAACTACGTCACGTAGTACGTGGAGATGGTCGATCTGATCGGACGTCATCATCCCCATGACAATTCCACTGAAAAACTCTAAAAATGATAGAAACCGTTCTAATGGGACACTTCAACTAATCTCTTTTAAAAATTTGATCGAACAGTTGATGAAGACAATTCGAACGCCCCCTAAATGTGACGACCACGGGCCAAGGCCAGTAAGGCTCAAACCCCAACGCCAGGCCTCCACGGCAGCCAGGGAGGCACAGCTCCCCCCCCCCCCCCCATATCAGGCCTGGCGGAACCGGTCCGGTTTCGGACCAGCTTTTTGGCCACCAACGTGTTTTTACTGCTGAGGAGGGCATGTGTATATCCTCCATATCATACACGAAGCATGAAAGGGCTAGGCAATGGCCGGATCAATCAAAAACTGCTTCCACCGGTCCTGCATATGATAGGACGCTGCCGAACTCGCCGAGCCCCACGCAGACACATGATTGACCGCACTCTAACGCAACAGGGCCGCAGGGGAAACCCAGCCTGGGCCTGTAGCGGAACATGGGCAACCAGCAGGGAGCTACGGTATGCCTCTTTCCCACGCAGCGACTGGTCTGGAGGTGGGCAATCCAGTGCACCAGTGCTGTACTGGCTTAGAATCTACTACCAGCCTACAGGCCCCAGGGCCCAGGGAGTCCCCGCCTGGGACATGGGGCCACCGGCCCTTCCCGTTCCATTGTGGCCGGCCAAGTAAGAGACCAGGGAGTCGTGAAAAATACTCCCTGGTTGAGACATTGAGCTTGACTGCAACCTGGTGATGGCAACCCAGCGCGGCGAGGGAGTACTAAAAAAATACCTGGTTCCAACACCACCATGAAGCCTTGGAAGACTGAGCAAAGAGTCCATAGCCACTACTAATAGTACTATGCCGTAGCGGTGTAGATCTACTGTGCCTATGCCAGGCCCATGCCATGGTATCCTATCCTGCTTGTACAAAGCATGCAAGAGCGGGGAGGGGAGGGGAGGGGAGCGAGGTCTGTTTACTGTACTTCCAGTCAGTCTGTCTTGCCAGTACTTTAGCCTTGCATGATGACCATGATGACTCTTGCCGTCTTGGTCTCTTGCCTTGGTTTCACATGACTGACTACACTCTACAGACAGACTCAGCCACGGTGTACTGACTGACTGACTATTACAAAAGTAATTTGACTATAAACGTAATCTCCATTGTTGGCGCGATAAACTTCATAAAGGTTACCTTATTCCAGCTGTCCGCCGTCCGTATGCCAACTTGCTGCTGGATAGCAAGGCTGGAGCTGGGGAAACACCGCGTGGAGGCAATTTCCTCCCCGACTCTCGGCCATGTCGACGTCCGAAGTTCTGTGGATCGACGACGTCCACACCAAGACTGCGGGCCACAGGGTCGTCGTTCTCCAAGATCTGGCATGTTTCCTCTGAGTCCGAGCTTGCCAGGTCGTGGGTGGCTGGGGCGGTGGGCTTTTTCGGGACGAACACCACCGAATGACTACCGGACCTCGTTTTGCTACGTCCGCTTGCATTGGATTGGAGCAGCGGTACTTTATCCATACTCAGCCACCGGTAGGTTGCCTGGACGTGTTCCCGCAGGTAGCTCAATGCTGCCGACGCCCCCGCCCGGTATAATCAAGATTGAAGACTCAGTACTCAATAGCGACTAACTCAAGTCGGACATCTCGGACTGAGTCGGTCCTTGGAAGACAGGAAGAGAGCTCAGGTGGTACAGGGTACATGTAGCGTTCGTTTTCCGCTCTCGTCTAGCTCAGTCCTCAGGCTCAGAAAGCAGCAAACGCAGCACCGATCCCGAATGGTCGTCTTACCCCCCGGGAGCCAGTTCATGCCGCCTCTGCAAAGTTGACGGCGAGCACCGGTTCAGACATCGACCATTAATTCTCGGTCTTCTTCCAAAGAACTTGTTACTTGACTTTCACTCGTCCTCCAGAATCCCTCGGCCGACAGCGGATGAATGGCAGATTTATCCGTCGCGGAGTTCTGTCTTCGCGGTACACCGCCACTCCGCCTGGGTTGTGCTGGACAGCCCCACGCGGCCACGGTACGGGCGTCGACGGAGTCGGTGTGCTGAGTGAAGTGACAGGAGTCTAGTAGTACTAGTAGTACACGTACAGCGTGCACTTACATCCTGCTACTGACACGCAAGGATTCCTACCAGTGCCAGTGGACCCTACACAAATCACTATACACTAGTCTGCGGATTCCTAGCCGTAAATCCTGCATGCGTGTCACGTGCGTGGAGCAGAGTACAGTCAGTACTGTCAGTAGTAGAGGGTCATGTCAAGGAGGAGGATGGAACAAGTGACAACAGCATGGAGTGACACTGGTTGGTAGACATAGGCTGCGTTCGTTTTTAGCTACCTGGTAGAGTCGCTGAGAGTAGAGTCACTCTACCGATAGAGGTACAGTAGATCATGGTAGAGGTAAGTGTACGACTGCTGTTCTACCAGATTTAGTCAGTTTTTCACGATATGTACGTGAAATGTTTCTCTTCTGTACGGGGTTGTCTACAATTCCTTGATCTTGCTGGAAATCCCGTACCTCGACAACTATTACTTCTACCGGCTTCTACCAACTTTTCCCTGGTAGAGCCGGGAGAGGAAAGTAGAATCTACCCTTTTGAGCAGAAAAACCGAACACCTTTACCAAAAGAAGTAGTTTCTACCCAAACCTGTAGATCAAAAACGAACGCCCCATAATTATGTCAAGTTTAATAATTATGAAAGTGTCATGATATTTATGGTGATTAGTACACGGCAAGGATGCACAACTGACAATCACATTATATCCTTGCCAGTCCAGCCTTGCACTCCTGTGCAGGTGTGACCGAAAGTCCAGACTCATGAACAGTTGGATTGAGCAGCACAGGATAGGCCTTGACGGATTATGCTAGCATAATTTTTCGCATAATTCCTACCAAAATCGAATAATCGCATAATTCGAGGCAAATTGCATACGAATCGCATAAAATTGTAATAATCCGCCTGTTCGCATCATATTCCATACAGTTGTACATGTTCTGCAAGTACAAGTACAAGTAGATGCACTAGGAAGTTGTAGGTTTACGACTCCCTTGATAACATGTCAAGTCCACTACAATCAGTGATGGTCGTAGCTAGGTCGGACGGTGCGTTGACCCCGTTGAACTTTTGCTACTACAGTACAACGCCCTCTACAAAAAAATTCCCCTGTTATTTTGCACAGAACCATTATGCATTAGCAGCATATGGGAGCATAATACGGCATAATATGATAACTTTTAGCATAAAAATAGCATAATTCTGCAATTTTTTCAGCAATGCTTAAAGCATAATTTCACGAAAATATTAGCATAATCCGTCAAGGCCTAGCACAGGACTTGGGTGGCAAATTGCCAGGCGTTATTGGACCTTGAAGTTACGCGTTAGTGACGGGCACCTCACTCCTCAGTCCACCGGCCACCCTGTGGGTGAGATGTTTTGTGGATATAACTTTACGGTGATGTTCCATGCCAGATCTCTGGCCCTTCCCCATTGCAATGTATGTGACTTAGAGTTACGGGCATGTCGAGGTTATGGGTTAGGATGGGTAGGACCCAGTCCCCGCCCGGATAGGCAACAGGGTTAGGGTTAGGATGGGTAGTACCCAGTCCCCGCCCGGATAGGCAACATAATCATTATATTGCCCTAATACATACAGTGAAACAGCTGTCCAAGACGACCGCTCAAGGGACCTTCAAAACGTGGTCTCTGTCACCAGGTGGTCGCCTTATCCAGGGTCAATTGACTGGAAATAGCACCCTTGGTCCTGGTTGCAGTGGCCTTCTAGAACAGGTGGTCGCCTTTTCCGAGTGGTCGCCTTGACAGGTTTTACTGTAATCTCGTTTCACTGTAGGGGTGCGTTCGTTTCTCCTCTGCCAGAATCTCCAAAATTTGGAAGAGCGTTCACTTACTGTAAATCGTGAAATTATTGCCATGGTCTAATTTCTGCGAAATTCGCGACCGCGTGGAAATCGCGAAATTTAGACAGCGCGAAAAGGAGATCCATGAAAGGTTTAGCAAGAATGCCACAGGTTTAGCAAGAATGCCATTCTGCAATCGCAAAATTAAAACCTCGCAAACCTGTCCGGATTCTGAAAACGCGAACTAAAAACGCCGCGAAAATTTCACGCTTTACAGTATCCTCTGCCAAGCTCTGCTGGCTCTTCCAGCTCTTGAGGTGGAAGATTCCTGCGTTTTGTCACTTGCGCATGCACAAGACGGATTTTGGGTCTTTTTTGGCAAGAAACATTTGAATAAAATAATGCGTCCTCAAAAAAAGTTTCCTGTTTGCTGTGACGCACTGGGACAAATCCTGGAGCTCTTCTGACCCGTTCGAAAAATATTCTCATCTCTCTTCTCTTCCTAGCAGACTTTTCTAGAAAAGACAGAAGAATACTAGTGACAACAGTTATAATGGGTCCATGGCACGTGTTGGTAGAACTGGTGGATTGCTGGATGTTAAAATTGCACTGACCATACAACATGTGATTATGGGCCATAAACAACTCATGACAAGGGTGTGGCCACTACAATTATTTCAGTGGCTGTGCATGTGTGTGTGTGTGTGCGTGTGCGTGCGCGTGTGTGTGTGTGTGTGTGTGTGTGTGTGTGTGTGTGTGTGTGTGTGTGTGTGTGTGCGTGTGTGTGTGGTACCTAAGCAGGGTGCTGTCTATACCGGTTACCCCAGCAAGTGTAGGGTGTGCATAGGTAACTGTCTTGGCCGTTTTATGCCGATGTACTCTGTGTGGTGTAGACCAGGTGTGGTGCATTGGTGGTCGATTCACATGGCTTCGCAGGTTGTGTGAATTAGACAGTTATCTGGCGCTAGTCTTGACCTGTCTCATTCAGGTCTTGTCCGCTATCGTTGCTAAAGAGAACATCTGTGGGTGCACATCCAGTGCATTTGCAGATTTGCGTGCTTCTCTTGCGACGGGCGTATACATGGTACATGGTGTGTGTGTGTGTGTGTGTGTGTGTGTGTGTGTGTGTGTGTGCGTGTGTGTGTGTATGCATGTGTGTTTGTGTGTGTGTGTGTGTGTGTGTGTGCATGTGTGTGCGTATGTGTGTGGTGTCACATGTTGTGCGGTGTGTAACTTATGTGCAGTCGATTTCCAATCGAGAAGTTGCGACGCTGCTTTAAGTCGCTGAGTGATATCTCACTACATTCCTACTGCCAAGGCAGTGTTGTAACCAAAGAAAAGACGGTCATGTCTTTATTACAGACAAAACGTTCCAACAGTGTGCATGCAACTCGGACTGTACAATACGTGGGACCCTCAAAAGAGAATTTGCTGAAGAACGGGCATATAGAAAATTAGGTGGTCATGAAAAACGGCATGCAGAATTTAATTTCTTTTTAAATGATCCATTGTAGACTGTAGTAACCCAGTTAGAGATGCTCGCACGACAAGTTCCAAACCAAGTGTCCATAAGCCCGGGTCCCCTGGGCTCTTGCTTCAAAAATACCGCTTTTTCCGATGCCATTCTGAATCTCATTCTCATTACAGTGTGGCAATACCTGCCTGTAATGCATGACCATGGCCCTCAAAGTTGCCACAAACTAGACTTGCTGCACTGTTGTCACTGTGTACCACACTCAGTCTCTGCCTTGCTCCACTGTTGTCACCAGGAAGTAGTACAATATACCACTCCCCGGTTGTCACTGTGTACTGCACTCCGCCTTGCTCCACTGCCACGGTGTTGTACTGTGTACCTCACTGCGGTATTGAGCACTCTCAGCACACTGGGTGTGTCCTCCGTAGTTTTTTTGTTGTTGCTTCTGATGCCTATGTAAGCTGGCTGTAGCGGCTTCGTTTCCAGAGAGCTAGACTGTTACTTCTCCCGACATTGGCGTTGTGCTTCCTTGTCAAGAAGTGCTGCTGGCAATGACTATGTGAAAGGTGTGCTTTACACACCTCCTACTTGACACTATACACATAATGATATCATACTTCACACTGTACACATAGCACTTCCAGGCTCTCACACGTTAGCGCCTACTGCTTTCCAGTATATCAGGGTATATCTCTCCGGCCAGCCATTTGACCTTATCACCGACCATGCAGCGCTCACATGGAGCAACATCCTGGCAATGGATGAGATCCATGGGCGACGTGCACCGGTTCCAGATGAGACCCATCCACCAGCCAGGAACTTCACCAGAACTGAGTATGTGTAGATGTACAGTACTGGCAACTGAAATCCGACCCCCTGGCCTGGGCGGCGCGCCGCCCAGGGGGTCGGATTTCAGTTGCCAGCACTGTAGTATGTACATCACCACAGCAGCACTACAGCACTACAGTAGCAATACAGCAGCAATACAGCACTACAGTAGCAGGCTGGCAGCCAGCATGAAGTATACGTGCAGCTGTACTTCTACATGCAATGCGGCCATCGCACACACAGTAGAGCCGAGAGCCCACAGGCACAGAGCAAACGGCAGTGGCAACTTGTGAATGTCGTTACACAACACTGCATACGGACTTTAGGAACAACGGTCATGCTTTGGAATCTATGTGGAAGTTTGCAACATGGGAAATACATGGGAAATAGATAATTTCATAAGCGGAATATTTTGAAGGTACCAGCGAAGCCAGATGAAAAGGAATGAAAAATGCTAAATGTTGCGCTGTGGAAACTTTGAGAACATCAATAATATTATACCGTATGCCTAATCAGCTCATCATGTAGCATGCTTTTCAACAGACGAGAGAAAGAAACTAGAGGACAGCAAAACGTTAGGAGGCCGAGCAGCATTTGTCGTGGCCCTGTCATGATCATCAACATAGCGCAACGAGTCAAGTTGGGTACAAGAGGTGAAAAATGGGTACTTTTCTTTAGAAACAAAACAAAAAACCCACCAATAACTAGTCAGTCGAAGCACAAGCAAACACATGTGGTCACTACATCAAGCAGTACACATCGTTTGCAGGCAAACCATTCAAAAAAGTGTTAAAAAGGCAAACTGTTAAAAAGTGCACTGAAATAAAAACCACCCCTGTCAGGCTCCTTGTGAGCAAGCGAGTGAATGAAGCAAAACAAATGTTTCCAACCTTTTGGCTAATTGACATGATCACAGGAGACTAAAGGTGACAAGCAAAACGTTTTTAATAAAGAGCTCAAAACTAAGAAGCAGGCAGAGAGTAGACACCCTGACAGGCATAGAGGACATGAGACCACCATGGCATAAAATAAATAAAAACACAACACGAGTAAGTTGCCACCACTAGTAGGCTAGAGTCATTAAAAAAACAAGCACAGCTAAGCATTACAGCGTATTGCTGGAGACATTGACGAACACGAGCTAAAATCTGAATGCGAGCGAAATCAGCTGGGCGTACTAAGGCGAAGGGAGATGCGTTGAGCAGCATTGGTGGGAAGCGAGAACGTCTTGATTAAAGAGTCGTGAACTGGGTCGTCCTGTAGCAGGCGCCCAGGTGCCAGCTCATCACCGGGACTAAGTAGCCTGCCCAGCGAGCCGTGTAACGGATGGATAAGAGGTGCTGGCTGTGACTGGTCTCCAGGGACATTTAGTGAAGGTGCTGACACAGACGTAACGCCGTGCACAGAAGTGGACTTTTGGATACGACACTCGGTATCAGACACCAGAGAGCAGCGAGTTGTTGCTGATTGATATCCGTTGAGTGATGATGCCATGGAGAAATGATCGTCGGGGCCAGATATACTATCTCGGTGGAACAGCATTCGCTTGCGCCACTTCTCATCACCAGCACCCTTAGGTGCACCACTGACGACAACAGCAGGATTGCTCGTTGTGTGACCTGACGAAGACAGTTTCTGTGCGCGATAGTGATGCGGCCACACAACGCTATCCAGTAGGTGGGTGACCATGTCTCCCTTGCCTTTGACAAACACCGTATCAGGTCGCTGTGTGAACTTCGCCGCACCCATCAGGCAATCCAGGCATTCATCTGGTACCTGGTGCACAAGGCCAAAACAGCAGGAACCAAATAGTCAGATGTTGTCGGACACGTAGGGTGTGTTCGCACGGGACTCTCCAGAAACATCGAGGCTCTTAGTTTTTGTTTGAAGCGCCCACGCGAGCTCTCCAAAAAAAAAAGGACCCGAATCTCTCCGGCCTCTTCTGAGAAAGACCGTGGAAAGGATCTGGAGATGCCTCCACTTTTGCTGGTGAGCATCGAGTGCATGTGTACTTTTCTAGCGTCACGATAAGCTCCTTGCAACAGTTTTCATGCGGTCCTTGCCTGTCTAATCTGGCTCTCTGCCTCCCAGATTCAGTTTGCGAAAAAAAGCTGTCCGGCTACTCTCATCTCCTCACTTCACATCTTGCCTTTGTTTTTCAGAGGCCCATGTGAACACATCTTGCCTTTGTTCTTCAGAGGCCCATGTGAACACATCTTGCCTTTGTTCTTCAGAGGCCCATGTGAACACATCTTGCTCACAAAAAGAATACACCATCGCCCAGAACGGTCTCTCGGCTACAATTTCTCGAAAAAAGAATACAGTACAAATTCGAACTTTCGGGCCAGGCCCAACGTCAGAAAGGATTTGAGTGGCGGCGTACGATATTTGTGAGCAAGATGAGATGGCTACCGTCAAGTCCTACACCCCGCACTGATGAATGCACTCTAAGAATTCGTGAAGCGTTCATATCTGTTTAGCACGAGATGTACAATTGAAGAGGAGGCATGGAAGCCAGCGACGATCGTTTGCAATTGCAGCACAATTTTACCAGTTTCAAAAACGTACATAAAGCTAGGTAAAGACATTAGCTTGCTGGTAGCAGACTGCAGTTCGAAAACAAGTTCTTCATGCCAGTCTTTTATTTTTTTATCTACATGTATGTGTACTCTCCGTGGTCCATACATTGGACTAGATTTGAGTGTGCGGAAGTTAGACTCCAGCACAGGATGCATCAAACCAAGCAGCTATGCAGAATCACCACGGAACATTAATACTATCTAATCAACGGAGGCAATGTGTCGTCAGTGCAAGCACAGCCAATGTGAACGACTACTCAGTAAGTTAGAATGCTGCTGTGAAGTTCATACGCACAGGGAACACGCTTATAGAACCTCGCCAAAAGCGACCGCAACAGTACATCGACAAGAGCAAGCGACTCCGCTGCTGGTCTGGTCCACGGTGGAATTTTTTTGTTGTCGTCACCTTTTTTCAGAACCTATGACGCTTGTCGTACAAACTACAAAGTAAAGCATGCGCTGGACGACGACTTTCATCCCTAGTTTGTGATTGTGCCGCTTTCAAAACGAATTTTTGAACTTTTTCTCCCGCTTCGGTAGCGTTATATAGTACTTGTAGTGCAAGTTTAGTGAAACCCTGGCGAGTTCACACGACCACACACTCGCAGTGCATGCCTCGTAAAGTACAACTCATGATCTCCAAAAAAGGTGACATCAACAACAACAAAAAACGCCACCTTGTGTTGGGAGTGTATTATTCGAAACCGTGGTCGATTCCTCGGCCTTGTAGCCGAGGAACCAGCCACTGTTTCAGCCCAAACTTACAACACACAGCTTGCAGAAGTGGCTTTTCTGCTGAGTGTATTCACAAAAATTGGTTCCTTTAAAGAATCCGTTCCCCTCTATCTTATACACACAGGCATGCTGCAGTACACACACACACACACGCGCGCGCGTGCGTGTACATACCAACACTGCACTCACCTGTATACGACCTGCTACACCAGTGGAGTCCATGCGCGACGCGACATTAACCGTGTTGCCCCAGATGTCGTAGAGCAGCTTGGTTGAGCCAACCACTCCAGCTGTCACCGGTCCACAGTTGAATCCAACACGCAGTACAAACTCATAACCAACCATGTTGTCGTTGAAGTTACGCACCGTCTCCTGCATGCTGACAGCAAACTCCAGTAGCGCCTTCAGGTGGTAGTTGCGGTCCACGTGATAAAAACCATTCCTCTGGGCTGTGTTCAAGCCAGAAGCGACCATGTATGTAGCACCGATAGTCTTAATCTTCTCTACGGATGTAAACTCCGGCTTACAGAGCAGGTCATCAAAGTCGCTGATCAGCTCGTTCAGGACGCGGATGCAGCCAATGCCACCTTCAAAGTTTTCAGAATAGAAATCGCTGAAGTTGACAATCGTAGCAAAGATCACACCCACCATTTCATGATTCTCAGAGTACGTCGACGAGACCTATAGATAACACAACCAATAAAAAGCAGCAAAAACAACACGTGACCGGACTGCAGAAGTGAAAAGCACACAGGATTTGCGACCGGACTGCAGAAGTGAAAAGCACACAGGATTTATTGCAAGCACAAGAACAGTCAAGAGTCAGAAAATAGTCAAGGAATGGTTTCAGAAACCCAAGTCAGTTTTGAATACAATCACTTGTCCCCAAATGTCTGAACATAGTTACTCGCACAGCGAGTAGCCTGCTTTTGCAATTACAACAATCGAAATCCGAACGCATGAATATAGCTGTGCCAGTATCGCACTGCCCATGCACCACACAACACTGGGCTGTACAGTAGGTGTGAAAACGAATATTAGAAAGTTCGACTACAATTGTAGGTTCGCTCCGAAAGGGAGTTGGAGAGAATTCGAATATTTACTTCAAGGTGTCGAACGTTCGTCGATGCATTCGTAAGCGCATGCCGTCCCATGCTTGTACTGCAAATAACAATGTACATGTATATCGTGCGGAGCTCAGCCAGCCGACCTCGGCCCCAGGGCCCTACTACAGGTAACAGCAGCTTTTCAAAGAAGAAAGTGATTGCACTGTCCAATTCTTGGTTGTTTTACCTATGTGATGGAGTGCTGGTGTGGACATATGTGGGGGGGGGGGGGGGTTATTTGTTCAGAACAGTTCGTGAGTTCGTCAAACAAAGCGTGCGGCTTGTCAGAATGTTTCGTTCGCCTACATTGGGGTTCGTTTCAGGCCTACTGTACGGTAAACATGGCAGCACTGTTCTACCCACGAGATGAACATTCAGTTACCAGTGTCACAACTGCACTTCAAACGTATATGCAGTAGAGGTATGCAGGTGTTGCAATTAGCACCTCTGTGTACCAGGTCAGGCCGCGCCAGAGTGGTGTGTGTGTGTGTGCGTGTGTGTGCGTGCGTGTATGCGTGTGCACAATGAAGATCTACCTTACCTTTAGATGTTGGCAGACATGGTCGGGCAGCAAGTTGTTCAGCAGGCTGTCTGCTTGCTCCTTCAGCTGTTGAATCTCCTCGAAGGAGACCTGCGCTAGAAGCTGACTCTTGAAGTTGAGACGCGACGCAGCTTCGTACTGGCGATTGAGAACAACGATGAGAACCAGGTAGACAGAGAAGATGAGGAAAGCTTCGTTGTGAATGTTGTTGGTGATGACGCTAGCGCAGAGCTCCGTGGCGTTGGCCCTGTCCAGCATGACAAGAGGGTCGCCGCAGTGCCAGCTGCTACACGGCACACGCACCAGAGACACGAGCAGCGCGCACACGCATGTGCCGACGAGCAGCTTGATGATGCGATGCAGCTGCGTGAAGAGCAGGCACATGGTGAGCGACACCTGCAGCACGAAGATGTTGAAGTGCACGCCGTCCTGGCTGTTGAAGGACGTCACGGTGCACGGCCAGTTGATTGCCACCAGCACCATGGGTATGAAGAGCAGCAGTAGCACAATACCGTGCACTATCCACCAGTTACACATGACCGGTCGCAACACGTGCGCAAGGCGAGGATGACGCACATAGCACACGCTCCCCACCGACACGACGATGACGATGTGAAAGACGAGAAAACATCCGAACGTGACGATCCAGGTGGTGCTGAGCGTGGACATGAACTTGGTGAAGAAGATGATGGAGAGCAGCACAAACATGACAAACGTAAGTACGACTTGTAGGAAGTAGGAGAATATGGGACTATCAAATGTCGTATGGGAAGTGACTCCACTCGGCGTGTTGAACTGCAAGCGATGCAATGCTTCCAAATCTTGGTCTATAAACACTAATGACATCATAGACAAATCCTTGCCAGAGATGTTCTTCAGCTCAATCAACCGGTCCCAGGTGTTGTTAAGCACTTTGATGACCATTTGCTCCTCCTCCAACCGAGCCTTTCGAGCTTCTTCTTGTCGGCTCTTCTCAGTGCTCAGTGGAGCGACTGTAATGCGGAGGAGATCCGATACAGCCAACTCGGAAAGACGAACTTTCACACGAGGTGCCTCGTGAGCATCACGCTCCTTCAGCATACCGCCTATGCCCAGCGCCTCTTCTTCAGAATCTAATACAACAGTTGCTGGCTCATCTACGCCATCAATTGATGGTACACGTAATAGCGACCTTGAGTTGACAGTGCGTGCAGCCTCACCCCGGCTTGGAGACAAGGTTGCGGGAGATTCGATCCATCTTCTGCTTTTCTCAGTGTTCGCTTTGAGCTGGGGCGGCTGATGGCGAAAGGACGTGGGAACTCTGGAAGGCTTTTTTCGCGTTCCTGTTGGCGATCCCTCGAGGGCTGGCTCTGAGATGCAGCGTTTGGGCAGATCGGGCTTTTCGGGATACGTGACTAGATGTGTTGTGATCTCGCTGAGTTGTTCATTGCGTGCCGCACCGTCACCAGGCTGTATGTGGTATGCAGCTGGATCAACGAGGGCATCTAGTGTGCTCTGAGAGATGTGCACCATACCAGGTACACCACCCGACTCCATCTGATTGGCCAGCTGTACATCGTTGGAGAAGACGTCAAACTTGAAGCGGTGCACGCCGACAATGCCGCACAGCACCGTGCCTGTGTGAATGCCCACGCGCATGTTGACGTCCTCGCCGGTGTCACGGCAGAACTGCACAATAGCCCGGCACATCGACAGTCCCATCTGTACACACCGGTCAGCATGGTCCAAGCACGGTATCGGGCAGCCAGCAACACAGTAGTAGCAGTCACCCAATGTGCTGATCTTCTCGCAACCGTGCTGCTCGGCCAGCTTGTCAAAGCGGTGGAACAAGTTGTTCAGCAGTGTCACCAGCGCGGAGGCAGACTTCGAAGACGACATCTTGGTGAAGCCAACGATGTCAGCGAATAGAATTGTCACGTTGTCCATGCGGTGCAGCATCAGAGGACGGAACCGAGATGAGTCATGCTTAAAAATGTTCTGGTACGCATTGTCATCGATCTCCAACAGCTCACTGGCGATGATCTCGGGCATGACTGAGTGGATCATTTTCTCTTTCAGCGCAAGCTCCAAATCCAGCTGATCCTGGTACAGCAGTGACCGTCCAATCCGCCAGAATGTGTTCCTGCGGAAGACTTCTGACATCAGGTTAATACTGGCCAACATACAGTGCAAGCAGAGGTGAAGAATCAGTTTCATGAACAGAATCTTGGAAGAGACATGATCGTCGATGAAATACTCCTGTATGATCTCAAACACTAGTGAGAAGACAGCGCCGAGACTTGCCGCTACGTGCAAGTCGAGCGGCAGGAACAGGTAGAGCACAGTCAGCACTATGGTGCCGATGCTAAACCGGGCAACGTCGGAAAACACGTCGTCCGGATACACCAGTGTCAGCAGCGCGGCAAGCGTCAGGCTCATTGCCAGCACGCGGCACAGGTACTTCTCAAACGTGCCCTGAAAGCGAGATGTGTAGCTGACGGCCATGAAAAGCAGGACCAGCACAGCATAGCACAGCGGCCCAGCGATTGTCGAGATGTCGTGAGAAGAGATGCCCAGGAACAGAGCATGTGTCAAGCAGGCCAGGGCCAAGTACGCACAGGCCATTCGAAACAATGTCTTCGCCGAGGCTTCTTGACTGCTCTGGTATTGACATTCCAGCTCTTCATTGTGAAAGACAAGTTTCCACCAGATTCGCTCGTTTACACCATCAAAGAAATTTGGGACTCTCAGCCACTTTTGAAGACCTGTACGGTCAATTTCACTTCCATACGAATCAAAGGTGTTATCAGCACCTACACTACCAGCCTGACTGGAACGGGATGCACCATCGCCAATGACATCGAATGTTGACACTGACGGTTTGATCGGAGAGACACGGCCCAATCTTGGGTCAAACACATCTGCATTTAAACTGGATGCTAGCCTGCTGAACGTTATCGAACTCTGCCTCCTCCTCCAAGTTTCAGACCTAGCTTCTCCAGTAACTGTGCCACGAGTTGAGACAGCATCGACACTCTTCGCATCCGAGGAGATTGTGGCGTTGAAGTTCTTTGACGAGACGCTGGTGCTACGGTTCATAATTCTCAGCCTTGCCCGTGTACATCATTGGCCGCAGTTGAGCCTCATCACATTCCAACAACCATACACCATCCAAACCTAGCAGTGATGGACTATTCGAAACAACACATAGCGTGAAAAATCGTGAACAGTGGTGAAAGGACTACAAACTGATGCAGAGCCACAAAGCTGCAACGACAAAAAAAGCACTGGATTGATGACCCTCACAACATGTTATTGTACGACATTTGAAAGTCACTCCGAATGGTACGACAAAACCAGCCTGTCAGCTGTCAAGGTCATGTCCTATTTCCTGCTGTTGTTTCTCCAAAGCAAAGCTTTCCTTGTCAGATTTTCTTTTCCTTCGATCCCCTGCGCCGCACGCGCAAGCATCAGGATCATACCAAGACGGCATAATGAACTCTTGATCATACATCATAGAGTTTTCGAAATTACGCGCTTTTCTGAAATTTCTCCGTCGGAAAAGCAGAAAAAGGCGAAAATAGTTGTCGTCTCTCACTCTCAGTGCATGTGCACCATGGGCATGGTGCACAGGCGCTAGGCTATGCCATGGCGCGGGGATACTAGGCCTGATATGGAGTTGGATGCCATGCCGAACATGTACGTACAGTACAGTGGGGCTGCCCTTATCAGGAATTATTTTCATCACTATTATAGAGGAACACATCACAGCAAGAATAAACTCTTGATCACAGCAAAGACCTGCCTGAGTCCCAATACAGTCGTCCCTCTCTAATCCGGCACTTTATAATCCAGCACCCTCGATAAACCAGCACAATTTTCAGTAGCCAAAATGTCCTCTTCATGCACATTGCAGCAGTAAATCAGATTTGTTAAGGTGGCAGTCTGGGTTCGCGGCCCGACCGCATGAACACAGCCGTAACTTCCATAATAATTGATGAATTTTGCTCAAATCTTGACCACATACCCAGTGTATTTCACTAAGTCCAATGAAGTATAAATCAAGCTCACACATGGGAATCTGCAGACACAATAGTCAAATCTGCGATTATGCCGTACCACCAATACCTTAGACGCAATATGCAAACGCAGAAAGAAGCTGGGTAGAAACTGAGTGCTCCACAGGATTTCCTTCACATATACCTAGGTGCTAAGTGGAGCGGAATTTTGAAATCATATTCAGAACAAAGTACTCAAGCTGTCAAACAAAAATCATGCAATCGCGCAAAATTTAGGTCCTCGATCAGTAGCACTTTACTCAAAGCTACTAGACAAATATAAAAATCCATGACACTTAGCACCTTGATAAATGCTCACAGTTTCCAAAAATGTATGGTTTATGGGGTCTGTGACTTACAGGTTCTTCGCTACGCTGTCTAAGAGGTACGGGACTCAGTGGAAAATGGAGAAAAAAGTGCTCTGTGCAAGTACAGATGGAGGTATGTCTGTCCAACTAGAACTTACTAGAACTTAGTCGAAGCCACCAGCTTCATATGTCAAACCTTCTTCCTCTTGCTGCTCATCCTGGATGCCCTTCCTGATCCTCCTTCGCTTCTTTCGTGACCTCTTCCCTTCTTCTGACTTCTTTCTGGCAGCATGTGCCTGTCTCTCACGGTCTAGCAGCTTGATGAGACGTGTCGTATGGTGTCCAGTAGGGAGGCCCATCTCGTCCAGAACGCGTTTCACTGCCACACCTCCATCATTGAACCAGGCCACGGCCAGGTAGACGCACATCTGGACAGTGGGAGCGGATGCAAAGCCTGTCTTTGGACACAACTGCCACACGAGTCCATTGAACGCTTCGTTGCGATTCTGCGTAGCACCCTTCTGGCAGCGCTCGAGCAAACTCCGGTCGGACAACCGAATGTAGACCGGCTTCAGTTCCTTCCATACTGCCTCTGGCAGGATATTGTGGTGGGCGTAGACATCACCACCTGCCTGTTGCTGCTGCCATCTACACCAGCTGTTAATTCCAGGCGGACAATACTGGTGCTGAGGTTTACTGTCGCTGGATGCACGATGCATGAGGGATGCCCATATGGCCCTGGCCATGGCTTGCAAGTCTCCGCTGTTGTTCCGCACAGCCATGCCATAGTAGGCTTGCAGCTTGTCGATCATGGCATCCGTGAGGCGACCACGTCCGCCTATAGTGCGCCCATCAGCAAGCTTCTTGCCCGCAAGGTTTTTCTTCAGCTTTCTTAGGCTGGTACCGATGCGTTTTTGAACGTGGCCGACACATTCCTCCTTGACTACAGGCACCTCGGGCCCATACGGACAAGCGTCACGCACAGCCTTAAAACTCTTGGTATCTCCATCACCAATGTAGGTGGTGTACCTCAGCTTGCGGCTCTCAAAGGACCTGGCCCACAGAGTCTTGGCGGCTGCACTCTCCATGGCAGGAGCTGATACAGTGGTGTTGACTGAGCAATCGTGTTCGGCAATCTGTCGATCATAGTCATCTTTGGTTAGCTCTCCCTTCTCTTTTCTAGACGCCAAGTGCGTGCACTTGTGGCAAAACTTTGAAAGCACTTCGCAGTCCACCACTTTGCCGACATCATATGCAATTATAGTGAAGGCTCCGAAGAGCGATGCGAATCCTCGGCGCATCCAGGTACCGTCATAGGAAGCAGCGATATCGCTACCCCCATCTGCTGCGGACACTGCTTTCTCAGCTGCCTCAGTCATGCTACGCTCAGCGACGCTCTTGGACGCGGAATGCAGGCCTTTAGCATGGCTGTAAAATGTCGACCGACTCATAGGTGATGGCATATTCAGTGCACCCGCCAGCTTTACCATTGATTGACGTCCACGGCCAATCAGTCGCATTCCGAATACTGCTCGTCTGTTCACCTCCCAGACCCGATTGAACTTCTTGGACATAAATTCGCTTGCTATGTCGCCGCAGTTAACACAGGAAAGCTCCAGGCATGATGCAAGGCCTCCCCGTTGCGATTCGCTGATCGTGACTGCGCCATTACAGCCACTGCAACAAACTGCAGCTGACAAAAGCTGCTGAAGGCACTCGAGATCAATCAGGCGAAATCCATGCGCCCCTTCCTCACACTCTTCATCCAAGTCACTGTCGGAGGAACTGCTGTCGACTTCACCGCCACTTCCATCACTATCGCTGTTTGAAGACGTGGCTTCAGCTGGCACTTCAAGGTCGTCATCAGACAGTGGCAAGTCAGGAATTTGTTCTGCAGGCGAAATTTCACCAGAGGGAGCCTTCGGCGCCTGAGACACTCCATAGAACGTTCTTTTCCTTTTCTTAGATCGTCCGGGCTTTCCCTTGGCTCTAGACTTCCCCATAGTAGCCAACGAAGGGGTTAGCTCCAAGAAACAATTACTCCAAAACAATTACTCCAAAAGTAACTAGTTTCAACAGCAGAGCGATCAGCTGAGATCATGAGAGTCGAAATTTGAATTTTTTTGAATTTGCGCATGCGCAAAAGTTATCTTGGTTGCCATGGTGACAAACATCGTGCGCGGCTGTCAGTCTGCAGCGCAGAGGAGTACCAGGAGTCGCTCCAGAAAATTTTAATGAAATCGCTCAAAGATTGACGGTAAAAATCGGAATAGTGTGCAAACCTAAATTTTGTAGAAATTTGCTGATATTTCAGTATTTCAAAAACAATTGTGCAGACTTTGCGCGGCTATATCTCCGGAAGGAAGCACCCGATTACGCTCAAATTTTCAGGATAAACCCTTTGGACCATACACAAGACGCTGCCAGTGAAAAAATACAGAAAATCGAAACTTTGTTTTTTGACCCTCTGAACCCAGACTGCCACCTTAATCCAGCACCCTCCCTAATCCAGCAGATTTTCGTGGCACAAATGGTGCCGGATTATAGAGGGACCACTGTATAAGCGTTTGCAACTGCATATGTATGGGGTCTCCAAACTCGAAAACTCGTGCATGATCATAATAAACAAATAAAATTGAAAATTAATAATGATGGGTTTTCGCTATCGGCAGCAGCTAAAAGCTGACTTACGTAACAATTACACTAACATAGGGCCCGGGCCTTATTAGGGGGGGGGGGGGGGGGGGTACTCTTGACAACTTCTTGGGCAAACCCATCGATGCATCCAAGTAAGAGTTGCACATACCCCGCACTTCCGCACGGGCTTACATGTATGTCCGGACATAAGCGCGCCCCCAATTATAAATATAAGCACATGTGCTTTTATGTGAACACGATTGGTAAAACACCTGGGAGCTGAATATACTACTGAGCATTGTGATCACACCATTGTTTAGGACACAGACAAACTTTTATTGCACATATAGCGCATGTGCTTCTACCCGGACATGTTACCCAGCAAACATAAGTTTTGCAGTTTTTGCTCGTCTTGCCTCTTGGCCGACTTGGGTCCCTGGAGTGGAGATCAGGGAAGGGTGAAAATAATGAAAAAACACTCTTTACCAATTACTGCTGTAGTAGGCTAGGGAGTACAAAAAACCCTGATTTCAACCCTCCCTCCCCCCCCCCCCCCCCATACATTATAGGCTAGGCCAGGAGGTACATCAGGGAGTCGTCAACACTGAGTAGTTGAAGACTCACTGGCCGTGGGCTACATACAGTGTATAATGCAATTTTACTTTGTAGGGGGCGGGGTGGAGGGTTGAAATCGAGAAATCGTACTACTGTACTGTAAAGTACTTTATGTGTGTACCTCTCACCAGCGACCAGCGTTGCAGATGGGAATTTTTGGCAAAAGTAGTCAGGTGACCATACCGGTCCAGAGAAATGGACTTTTGTCGGCATATCAGTAATCAACATACATGTAATTAGTACGTACCTATCACCAAGACAGAAGAGCACTCTTTCTATCACTACAGGGAGTCCTATAGGCTATACCAAGAGTACATAAACCAGAGTGTGCAACTCGGGATGGTTCCTGTGGGAGCGTAATTCGTGCACTACGTCATTTCTGACGGCATGGTAAGCCACAGGTACGGTGAAAAGTTGCGTAATCAGTCGCGGTGGTGCAGTTCACTGTGTTTGTCCTGATTTCGGTTTTTTGAGACGGATAGCCTGGTGACTTTACTTGTCGGTGGATGCATGTAGCGTACACAGTCACACAAAACACCGAAATCCTGAAACAGGACGTCTAAAATCAAGCAAACTTGGTTGATTTCCGGGCTATGAAACATGAAAATTTGAGCTGTACGCAAGTCGCGGCTTGGCTGACCTCATCAGGGTGACGTAGTGCACGAACTGCGCTGTTTCAGATCTGATATGCACAGTTGCACACTCTGGTTTATGTACTCTTGGCTATACCAAGAGTACATAACCCCCCAGAGTGTGCAACTCCACTATGGGTGCTGTCCCGACAGAATTTCAAGTTGACGTCATTTTAATGATGCAATGCGCACTGTACACGGATTATCAGACGAATCCGGAACCTGTGGTTGACCGAAGCCGATCGATCCTGTACAAATTATTGCAAAGAAAAACGTGTGATGCGTTGACACCCGTACACATGTTGTAAATCACTGCTGCAAGGAGCATTGCGTCATAAATAATGACGTCAACTTGAAATTCTGTCGGGACAACAGGGTATGTGGGAGTTGCACACTCTGGGGGGTTATGTACTCTTGGCTATACTGATACGTGTGGGCTCCTTGGCGATCGCTTATTTTTTTCCACTGAGCGTACTAGACTTCCGCAAGTTTTCGGTGTGTAGACCTACACTTGGTACAAACTTACTACAAAGAGTACACACCGTATACAAGGTACTAGTACAGTGTACACATGTACTATTATTAGTCCATTCAGAAAAAGATGGACTTCTAGCTTTTGGCCATAAATGGGTCAAACGTTGAGTTTTTTTAGAATTTGTTTCTGCAATCCCCTATGG